ACTGGTGAGGTTCTTAAATGATAGGATCAGAAGTTTGCATTATATTATGTAGGTAGCAGCAAGACACTGAAGATGGGAGCGTAACACTTGGATGTCTGTGTGAAGGATGGAATGGAGAGAAACAAGCCTCAAAGCAGAGCTAGCAATAAAGAGGCTAATACAATAACTCAGGCAATAATAGGTGGCATTTACATAGTGTTTTAAAGATTGCAAGAACATGCATATATTAATACACATATATATACAATTATATGTGATATACAAATATGAACTATATGTATCATATGATATATTTTCTCTTCACAAAAACTCTGATAGAAGCTAATTGTTATCTCCAGTTTACAGATCAGGAAACTGAGACTGAAAGAGGTTGCATGACTAATTCAGGGTCACACATCTAGTAAGTCAAATAGGATTTGATTTCAGTTGTTCCTGACTCCAAGTTTAGCTCACTACCCACTAGACTTTATCAAGGGTATTAATCATACAAGTATAGAAGAGGGGAAGGATGTCAGAGATATCATGGAGGTAGAATTGAAAGGATTTGGCTACTGTTTAGATTTAGAAAGTGAGCTAGAGGGAAGAGTCAAGGATGACTTCTAAGTTCCAAGCCTAGGTGACTAAAAGGAGGATGATACTATCACCATCCAAAGTAAGAAAGTTGGGAAGAGGGACAACTTTAGACAGGAAAATCATGATGAGATTTAGAAATACTTAGTTCGAAGTACTAAAGAGACCATCAGGTGAAGTTTACTAGTAGGCAGCTAGAAATGTATAAGTGCACATCAAGGGAGTGATTGGGAAGATAGATAGATACTTAGATAGATACATAGACAGATAGATGCACAGATACATAGATAGATACATAGATACATAGATGTATGGATGAATGGATGGATTGGATGGATGGATTGGATGGATGGATATATACTTATATACATACATATTTATGAGTTATCTGTACAAAAGTTTTAACTGAAGTGAATGATAGGATCATTAAGTAAAAGTATAGAGCAAAGAGAAGGGATCTAAAGACAGAGCCCTGGGGAAATCCACACTTAGGGTGATTCCTAATAGAACCCTGGAACATCAAATATGGAAGGGACAGTGGAGATCATCTAGGACAGGCTCTTCATTTTACAGATGAGTAAACTGAGGCCCAGAAAAGGGAAGTGATATATCTGAGTCCTACATTTGAGTTCAAAACATAAGTTTCAAAATATAAGATGGAAGAAGCATGACTACATAGAAATTTATCTAAAAAAACATCTGAGAGGAGTCTTAATGGACTACAAGTTTAAAAGAAGTCAATGGTGTCATGTGACAACTGGAAGAAAATATTATAATCTTAGCCTACATTTATTTAAGAGAGGCATTGTGTCTAGTACTCTGCTCTGCTCAGGCCTCGTATTTCATTCTTAGAACCAAATTTTCGAAAAGACATTGATAAGCGAGAGACTGTTGAAGGCAAGACAACTAGGAAGGTTCATGTTGATCTTATAGGCACATCAGTTGAAGGAAGTGGAAATGTTTGACCTGCATAAAAGATGAGGAGGGAAATGTTAGCTCTCTTTAAGTATTTGAAGGTGTCTCATACAGAAGAAGGGCAGCTAGGTGGTACAGTGCTGGGCTTGGAGTCAGGAAGATTCATCTTTCTGAGTTCAAATCTGGCCTCCAGACACTTACTAGCTGTGTAACCCTCAGTAAGTCACTTAACTCTGCTTCAGTTTCCTCATCTGAAAAATGAGCTAGAGAAGGAAATGGAAAGGCACTCCAGTTTCTTTGCCAAGAAAACCCCAAATGGGGTCACAAAGAGTTGGACATGACTGAAAAAACAACAACAAACATATGAAAGAGGGATTAGATTTCTTCTGCTTAATCTCAGAAGGTAGACAATCAATAAAAGTGACAGGGAGGCAGATTTTGACTTAATATAATTTTTAAAACTTCTTGATAGTTAGAACTGTACAAAAATGAAATGGACTGCATTCTGGAGGTATCTAGCAAAGGCTGATTTGTCCTGGATTATTAGTAGGCATTATTGTTTAGGTGTGAGTTGAACTAGATGACCCTTCCAACTCTGAGATTCTATAATTCTAGAAGGTAGGAAGAATGGGATCAGAACTCAAGTTTCCTAACTCCTAGATCAGAGCTCTTCTAGCAACATCCAGTTTCTAGGCCATTGTAATTTTCAAAGTGATTTCACAACTTCTACCTTCATCTTCTCTTTGAACTCATGAGATATATAGAAGAGTAATGGATATTATTTTTATTTGACAGATAAGAAAACTGAGGATCAGAGATGAAAAGTAATTTGGATTATTAGATCACTGACTAAGTTAATGGCAGGGTTTGGATTGAGACTTGGTTTTCTTGTATCAAATCTAGTACCAAAACAGACTATATCTCTCATTAATAGATAGATAGATAGATAGATAGATAGATAGATAGATAGATAGATATGATGTGATGTGATAGATAAAGCATCTATTAAGAATTTACTTTATGGACTGTTGAACTTGCCCAACAGAGCCATTACACCCAGAAAAAGCAACAAAATAGCACAATAGAAAAGACATTCTGGCCCTGCAATGCATCTGCACTCCTGGGACTAGATTCCACCATGATCATGTCACCACAAAAACCCCTCACCAGGAAACTCATCATCCTGTGAGATAACATCACTTTTGGTGCTCATACCTCACTGGTAGCCTCAGTACTCACTGACCCTCTGATTGGAGAGATGATCAAAGAACTCCCAAAGCCTACATTTAATGTGGACTCCCAGACCAGCCAACTCTTCATTTTTCATCAGGTTCATTATTTTGACTACACTCCTTGCCAAGTATATTCTTCCTCCATTAGATTGTAAGCTTTTTGAGGGCAGGAACTATATTTCTTTTTCTTATTTGTATTCCCAGCAGTTAGCATGATGCCTGGGATACAGTAACTGATTAATAAATGTTTACTGACTGATTGAAATTCATACACGTATTACACAGTTAGCTACCTATGCATATATAATATAACTATAATAATATTATATAACCAGTATAATATGTGTAACCAGCAGGTGGCACTGACAGGTAAGATTAGCTACATAGATGAAGGAATAACCCTCACTTTGGGATTTGGGGTTTAGCCACTCCTCCCAAACCACATCTTTATTCAGTCACTAGGTGACCCAGGGGTTGTCCATGCCTTGGTCCATGCCTTTATTCTACTCTTCACTCTGGATAGCCAGAAACTTTCTTAAGATACCTACCACTCCATGCAAACTGAAACTCTATAGTCATAGGGTAATTGGTTCCAAATCATGTGGTTTGTGTATCTCTATCATTTAGCAGATTATGAGTTACTAAAAAGATGAACGAAAGTGAATAAAATTAACTTTAAGGTATGAGTTAATTAAAAAGATATTCATAAAAATCTCTTATCTCAAAACTCCCAAATCTGTAATGAAACCCTAGCTATTGTAAGACTTTTTTTAATTCTGTGTATTTACAGCTATTCACTGGCTCCTTCCATCTCAATCCCTTTGTGCATAGTTAATAGACATAAGTCACAGAAAGTTTATAACTGATCATAAATTTATAAGACAAAATCAGGAATTAGAAACAGCTTAAATAAATAGAGGAATCATGTCAGTCAATCAACTATCATTTATTAAGTACGTGGTATGTGTTGGAAAATGAAAGAAATGCCTTCTGTGGATCCACCTTTTGATAGAGACATGATGGACTCAAAGTTTTTTTTTTTTTGCAAAGGAGGATGAAAGGGAGATAAAACAATTTTTTGTTAATTGAAATAAATTAAAAACCAAATTTAAAAAAAGGAAATGAAGACTAACTGAAAACACAGAGGAAGTGGTAGGGGGAGAGGAGTTAAACATTGATTACTATATTTTTGCTGATCTTAAGGAACAATAACAGCCAGCAGATTTGGTCCATTGAAGCCTTTCACCTGTTCTTTGGATTTTGACTAGATGGAGTGGTAAGTAGGACTTTATCAATATTGATGCCTTTCCCCTTTCTCCAGTGTTAGCATCCATTGAAAATATCAATTTACTCTTTTCTCAAACTACAATGAACTTTACGGTTAGCCATTTCAGTTCAGTGTTTTCCTTCCTGAGTCTTGCAGTTTTTTACCTCTAGATCATAGCCCTATATTTCCCATAAGTCCATGAAGACATGATCTAAAACCTGGTTATATGCATAAACACAAAATATGTTGTTGTTGTAAACTATATGCAATTGTGTGACTCAGACTTAAAGAATTACATGATGAACTGGTGCTATGTAGTCCAATAAACTAAATATTACAAGAAAAGGGAAGGACAAGGGAAGGGAAAGAAGGAGAGAGGATAGGAAAAAGGAAGAGAAAAGAAAGAAGAAAAGAGAAGAAAAGAACAGAACTTACTGTATGCCAGGTACTTTGAAAGCTCTCACTTTTGCATTTGAAAGTTCATTAGTTGGGGTTAAGGATATATTCTGTATGGTTTTGGAGGTGGGAATATCTAGACCGATGACTCAGTTCAAGTTCTTACCCATTACAGGGCACATGATGTATTGAAAAGAACACTTGACTTGGTAACTAGACATGAAAGACCTGAGCTCAAATATCGTCTCTGCCAATTATTAGCCAAGTGGTCTTAAGCAAGTTATGCCTCTGAGTCTCGTGTTTAATATGGGAATTTGTACAATTAAAGTTATAATTACATAGTAATTCATTCTAATCCATGGAAATGTGCAGTGAAAATTCAAATAATACAACAAGTTCTCAGGATTCATTATTTGAACTGATCAGGACTTGGCAGTACCTGTCTTAATTGGCCATTGTAAGGAAAATTGCTTCGCAAACTGTATAGCCCTCTAGAGATGGGAGTCATCATTCTTCTTATCCAAAGCTGTTCCATATACATCCATGCTTTCTGCTGGATCAATAATTGACTCTATAGGTACAGTGTATGGTTAGATTAATTTTCAACCAAAGAAATGGCAAACACTTAAATGAAACTTTTATTGGCTTGGAAATCACTTGGAAAACCACATAGCTTCATGATACACTGAAGGACATGTGAAAGATTTTTCTCAATATTCACAGCACTAAAGAACAAAATCAAGACCAAGAAAGGCTAAAGAAACAGTACATTCAGTGTGAGCATCCCATCCACTGAGTTTGACATCCAGTGGTCAAGAGAAAATTCAGTCTATATCAAAATACTTATTTTTTAAAAAGCAATTTCACCTAAAACAAATACAAATCTTTTGGATTCCTCCACAAAGAAAGATTGCTGACTATTTCACAGTGATGACAGACTTCCTTAAGAAACTTTTTTCCTAAAGTACCAAGGGAGTAAGTGGGAAATCTGTGACAAAACAGGCAACATATTTTTCACACAAATGCTTTTCCCATCCCCTAAATATTATATTTGCACAGACATACAAGGAACAAACACTTTACTGAAGGGACAAAACAGGACAGCACATTCTAATTTAAAATAAGCAGAATTATTTTTACTGCATTGAGGCCTACATGACTCACATGCTATAGGAGGGTTTTCTGGAGCAGGTTTCACCATTAGGGGTTGGGAAGGGATCACTGAAAATAATTAATTCTACCCTAAGCTTCAGACTGAGTTCTGGTTTCATTAACAAAGGAGGCATCATTGTGTGGTAGAAAAACACTGAATTCAGAATGAGAAGACCAGGGTACGAATCCTCACTCTGCTACCTTCTACCAGCCTTGAATGATTCATTTCTCTAAGATTGACCTGTTTCCAGAATCTGTAAAATGAGGGAATAATCTCAAAGGTCTTTCCCAACACTCACATTTTATTCACCAACTTGGATTCTTGCAGTAATTTCTTTTATGAAAATCCATTTCCCTCCATTTTGCAAATGTGGCCCATTTAGCTGGACACATTTGGTTTGAGGCTTGGGCTTTTTCTTTTTTAGACCCAGTGGGCACTCAGTCAACATAACTTAGATTTATAATAACGCAATCAAAATCACTGTAATTTATTTAATGAAAGCCAGAATCACAAAATATTGGAGCTAGAATGAATCTTAGAGAGTTTAATTCAACACCTTTGTTATGACAAACCAGGAAACTGAGGCTCACAGAGGTAAAGAGGCTTGCTCAAGATTTCACAGCTGACTAGCAGCAGAGTTGGACCCAGAATCCAGTTTTCTCAACTCCTAGAACATTGTTTTATCCACCCCATCACACTGCTACCAAACAGATATTTGACTGGCTTGGCAATGGACCCACATATGCAAATAGTCTGAAAACAAATCAAGGTAAATTCAATAAAATGATGGATGAGTTAGGTGATAACCTACCAAAGTGGGTCAAATATGAAACATTCTGTTAGCAACCCAAATGTCAAACAGTTGAGTTGGTATATAGTGATGCACATTAACGTCGAACTCTTTTGAAGAGCTAAGTCTTTGGGAATAACTGAAAATCCAGGTTTGGATTTTCCAGTCCTTTTCTTGGACACATGGTTTACACAGGAGAGAAAATGGTAGTATCCCAATGCATCTTAATCTGGTAGTTAAGGGTGATCTTCATATCAGGCTATAGATAATCATTTAAGACCTAAATGTTGTCAAATAAAAGATTCTGTGAACATTTGGCACTCCAAGTCTTCTTTCCCCATCCCCCTTCATCAATGCTGCATTGGATATTAGAAGTTTGACGACAAATCAGACTCTTATTCCATTGATACTTTGACAAATGAGGTACTATGGTGGGGGTGAGTTGACAGTGGAAATCAAAATATCAGGCCTTGTGGTTCAAAGCTTGTTTAAATTTTTTTTTAAAAAATACACTACTCACGGTATGGGGAAGCTAAGATCCAGTTCATAACCATTCTGTTTTATTGTACACACTGTACTCTTAGCTCTCTTGATTTGTAGTGAAAAACTCTCCCCTGCTCCAAATGAAACCCTTCACTAATACATCACATCCAGAAGTAAAGGGTGACAAAGATTTCAGCAATAAAGCTGCTGTTTCATTGACCATTCTAGGCTACCCTTCCAAATGGAAATGCTGGACTGGCATGGCATCAAAGTAAAAGTAAGTAGACAAATCTAAAATTTATTAATTTACCTATAGACCAAGCCAAACTCTTTGGAGGGGGGAAGAAGGAGATAAGAAGATATATATTGAATTAAATCATAGATATAGAGCTAAAAGGACCTTAGTGGCCATAAAGTCTAACCCCTCTCATTTTACAGATGAGGAAACTGAGGCAGAGATGGAAAGTGACTTGCCCAAGGTCACATAGGTGGTAAGCAGCAGAGCTGAGATTTGTGCCTAAGTACTTTGACCACAAATCTAGCTCCTTTCCTGCTCCATAATGCTGCCACTTCAATATAACAATGCCTTGGCATTCTTCAGATGATGAAGGGACAGAGGCAGCCCTGGAGTAATGGCAGACAAGGATTCTGAAGGCTCTCCACATCTTCCTGCTGTGCTTCCTTTCTCACTGCCACAGCTTTCCTCTAATTCATTATAAGATCTAGAGCTAGAAGGCATCGTAGAGATCAGCTAGTCTAATTCTCTCCATTAAGATGAAGCCCAAGGGAGTGAAGACCAAGGTCCTATAGGCAACATGTATCAGAGCAGTGATTCTAGTCTAGGTCTCCTGACTCCAAAACCAATGCTTTACCAACTCCTCCAAGATGCCTCAATACATCGCATAAGAAAATTGATTATTGAGCCCTAAGAGCTTGGAGAGAAAACTCCAAATTCCAGTTTAGCAGCAAGAAAAGAAAATCCACCCCTTTTGTCCTTTCCCTTGTCTTAGCTTTGACTGAAGTCCTGCTACTGAGCTCAATGCTGCCCCCCAAAGAGAGTTGGAATTCTCTCTCTGACTCTGAGGTGACTCGGGTTCCCATCACAGCTATCAGCCCATCATATAAGAGGCTTGCTGAAAATTGGCTGGGGCATTTAAAAGTCTGCTCCTTCTCAGTCCCCAAACCCTAATAGTGGAGTTCAGTTTGGCCGATGGAGGCAGTAATCATTCTCTGTGTCAAGAGAGCTGTTGTAGCCAGATGATGGGTATAAATCTCGTCTCAGTAGCCGATTGACAATGTTGATCACCACCTTCTTGTACTGTTGCCGCAGCAGTGAATACACGAAAGGGTCCAAGGCAGCCTTACTGTAGGTGAGGCACTTGCTTATTATTCCCCAGTAGTTGTTGATTGTAATGAATGGAAGGAGTTCCACCAGCCTGTTGCAAAGAAATTGAACAGTCTGGTATGATAATCAAACTCATTTAAAGTGCTCACCCTCCAAATATCTTAGATCGATAGTAAACCTTGAGTCATTGGGAGAACTCAGTTCAGCTCTGCCACTTAGTGTGATAAAACACAAATATGAGCCTCAGTTTACTCATCTGTTAAATGGAGATAATATTCTGTCTACCTTGCAGGGTTGTGATGAAAGCAGTTTATTAATCATAAAGTCTTCTAGGAATATGAGTTGTTACTATCAAAGTGCTTTCACACCCAGGATCTCATTTGCTTCTCAGAACAAACCTATGAGGTAGGCAGTCTACGTATTAGTGTCTCCTAAGAACTCATTTTACAGATGAGAAAACTGAGTTTCAAAAAGGTGAAATTATTTTCCCCCCAAGGTCATACACTGGCAGAACTGAAGTTTATCACACACTAGTCTTCCCCTTGAATCACATTCTGCCATTCTTCCTGGGATCCTAAATCCATTGTGATAATTTTTAGTAGTCTATGTATATTCCCAGGTGATGATGTAACCCACTTCCTTCCATCCTTTTGACTTCTTCCTTTCCCCCCTCCCCCCACTTCTTTCACCAATCTCTTCCCAATAGGGCTAGTGGTTTGGGCATGGAAGTGATCAGAATTGTGTTAGTGGCATCATGTGGAGAGTAGAAGGGGGAGGATGGATAATTAATGTGCAAACCATAACAACACCAACAATACTCCACATTGATAGGGCATTTCATAGCTTCCCAAACACTCACCTTGTTTGATTCCTTACCACAACCTTATGAATTAGGCAGAAATTATTATCTCTATTTTACAGCTGAGGTTAATGAGGCTCTGAAGCAGTATGAAAGATTCAGGCAAGGTCACATAGCCAGAAAATAGCAGAGCCAAAACTCAAACCTACATCTTCTGACCTTGTGACTCTGTCTAGCTGTCTAGTCCTCTTTATATTACCTCATATTTTCACCTAGTTCTTCTCCACTGCCTCCTCCACTTCCTTCTCTTTTTCCTATCCCAAGCATTATTTCCAAATAGGCTCCATTTATGATCTCATCAAAATGTTATCATATTCCTTTTTTAAAAATTAAGGTTTTAAGACCTCAGACCTATAGTTTTCCCCTGGGAGGTTAGTACTTTTAAATATTAAGAAATGACTGGTAACTAAAGCTCTGAGAAGAGACAAGCTAGCCTCACTAAGCTACAATGTCAGCCAGATCTCCTTGGCCCAAAATATGCCTGTTAAGAATCATATCTTGGTAGAAATAGGTTCATCACATTTTTTTCCTCCATCAAGATTCTTTGCTTAGGGAGTTGAGGAAATGGGAGTTTTGCTGAAATGCGGGCATTTCAGAGGACTGATAACTGCCCAAGACAGGTAGAATTTAGGTAGAGTGCCAAAACAAAAGCTTGGTATAGGCATAAGTATTAGAATCAGAACATCAAGATTCTAGTCCTCATCCCCTCACTAAATCACTGAGTGACTGAGCAAATGCCTTCTTCTCACTGGGCCTCAGTTTCTTCATCTGTAAAATGAAGAGATTTAATTCAGTTATCACCAAGATTCTTCTCAGCTCTGACAATGTGCTCTACGTACACGGATGGCTATGGAAATTGACTTCTAAAGTCATTCCTCAGCTTGAAGCAAAGAGAAATCAAGCGTGATCATAACCGTGGTAAAAATGTGTCCCTCCAAGGAGCTTAATGAAACCCATACAGACACAACATCCCCTTGCTAAGGGAGGAGGCAAGTATCATTATCCTCATTTTAGTCACAGAGAAACCAATTGGTAATTTCCATAACTTAATACTGCCAAATCCCTCTTTTAAGTCTTAAGGGCATAATAATTTGTAAATCCGTGACATTTTCAGAATGTTGAACACTGATAAGTTGGAGTTGATAATGGGGTTTTGGTGAGCCATGGCTTGTCATGAGGAATGGGGAGGGCAGTGAGGAATAAGATTTTAATAGAAATCAAAGTCTCCTTAAAGAGAGAAGGTTGAATAGCACTGAGTATGCATTTCACTCATTTAATCATCAGAAAATACCTAGAATTATTCTCCCAGAATTTCATAAAATGACAGTGGATTCTTAGGACATAGAATATTAGCACATAGAACATGAAATGTTACAGCTGGAAGGAACCTTAGAATGTGGAATTTAAGAATAGAGAGTACAGAATTTTAGGCTTAGAAAAGAACTTCAAACTTAAAATACAAAATCTTAAAGTTGTAAAAGACCTTGGGTCATTATCTCATCAATACCCCAAGATTTTAGAGAGCAGAAACTGAAGCTGAGAGAGAGAAATGGAGCTGTCCAAAATCACAAGGCTAGTAGATGGCAGAAACGGGGACAGAAATCACTGACATTTATACAGGGCTCACTATGCCAGGCACTGCGCTAAGCACATTACAAATAGTATGTTATTTGATCCTCACAATAATCTTGAGAGGTAGGTACTATTATTGTCCCCATTTTACAGATGATTAAACAGAGGCAAATAGGAGTTATGTGACTTGCCCCCAATCACCCAGCTAGGAAGTATCTGGAATTGGATTTGATCTCAGATCTTCCTGACCTCAGGCCCAGCGCTCTAACCACTGAGCAACTTCTGACTTCTAGTCCAATGCTCTTTCTACTACTTTGTTTCTCCACTAGTGTATCTGAATGATTGTTAAGCCAGGAAAAAAATGAAGAAATTTTTGTGCATTCTTAGATTAAGCAGTAGGTAGAGGACAGGACCTGGAGTGGGGAAGATCTGAGTTCAAATCCTGCCTCAGACACTTACTAGCTATGTGAAATTGGACAAATCACTTCACCTTCATCTGCCTTAGTTTCCTCATCTGCAAAATGGGAACACTAATAGCATTCCAAGGTGGCTGTGAGGATCAAATCATATAATATTTATAAAGTGCTTTTTCAACCTTAAAGTGCTATATAAATGCTAGCTGTTGTTATTGCTATAATGAGGGTGATGATGTCATAGTTTAAAAGCTATAGATCTGTAAGGGATCCTAGAAATCATTTAGTCCAGCTAAGTGTGGGATATTAGAAAGAAACCTAGGCCTGGAATCAGAAGAAACTTAACTTCTCTGAGGCTTAAATTTCCCACTTACAAAATGGGGAAAATAATTCTCCTACTGTCTACCTCACAGAATTGTGAATATTAAATGAGTTAATGCATACATTGTTCTTCAGTTGTGTCCAACTCTTTGTGACCCCATGGACTGATCCAAGGGGGTTTTCTTGGCTAGGATGGCTTGTTATTTCATTCTCATATGTGCCCCTATTTTACAGATGAGGAACTGAGGCAAACAGTAGTTAAGTGACTTACCCAGGATCACACAGCTAGCACATATCTGAGGCTAGATTTGAATTCAGGTCTTCCTGACTCCAGTCCCGGTGCTCTGTCCACTGCACCACCTAGCTGTCCCTCTAACGTACAAAGCACTTTTCAAACCCTAACTTTCTATATAAATGGTCAATTATTAATATTATTACAGATGAGGAAGCTGAGCCTCAGAAACAGGAAGTGACTGGCCCAAGGTCACATGGATTCTAAGTAGCAGAGCTAGGCCTTCTAACTTTATAACCAGTGCTTTTCTCACTCCATCATGCTGAGTGATGCTCCTTTTGAAACTTTAATGTTCAAAGTAGCATTTCTCTAATCTAGGGAAAGCCCGAAAGAAAACATATCACTCAATTTCAAGCAAAGCTGAGCATCTTCCCTAAATTATCTCTCAGCCGGCACTATGCTGACCTTGCAACATATTTTTTTTTTTTGGACAAAAGTTTTCTGGTCATTGAACAATCTCACTGTGTGTGTTGATGCAGAAGGGGGTGTCTGCACAGAAGAATATAAGGAGCCAACTCCTAGTCAAAGTCATACTGCAGTGATTTCCTTTTATTCCTACAAAGAAAATTAAAATATAAAATTAATCAGTTTCTTCTAACTTGAGACATAAATCGAACTCAAAGAAGGCTTATAGTTGAATCTTTGCTCTGCTACACGTGGCAAATCATATCATCCCTATAGGCCATTCACTTCACAAAGAGGGATGTATCATACTAACTGGACTGCCTACTTCATGGATTTGGAAGTTAATAAATTATTTGCTTGAATTAAATGTCTTACAAGCTAGAAAGGTGCTATGCAAATGTAAATTATTGTCATTATTTTTTGAGCAGCGCCAGCAATACTGGAATATATATAAAAAATTCTGAGGTGATCACTTTGAAGGAGATAAGTCATTTAGGAGTGTCTGATTTTGTGTTTTTTTTTAAGAAGGACATCATAGTCACACCATACATGTACATTTTATAAATATGTTAGTCATATTTTCCCATATTTGAATATAAGCATATTCTAAAAGAACTAAACATAAAGAGTTAAACAATAAACAAAGCTCATTCATTATTTATTGATTAGTTCAAACATGTCCAGAGCACAGAAATAATATTATTCTGCCCAAGTATCCATGAGAAAAGGACCTTACAGTTTTCTCTGTTCCTATTAGTCAAAAAAGGAGATTTTTTTGCATTCCTGATGCATGTGAAAAAGGCTGCAGACTCACACTATGAGGAGAAACACAGATCTGTATCTTGATGGCATATGGTAATTAACAGACGCCCAAAAGTGACTCACAGGCCCTTCATGTGCAGAATATTGATTAGTTAACATTTGATCTTATACAACCCCATAAAGGGACCTACTTTAGAAGGTGGGAGAGGAATGGACTCACCCACTCAGTAAGGGAGCTATGAAAAATTCTCCCTATTTTAAGTTTATCTCCCTATAGTCCCCAAGGGAATAAAGTACAAAGCAGAGTAGAAGAAATCAATGATGAAGGCACTAATCCTTTTGACCTCTGCTCTGGTTAGACCACATCTGAAGGATTTTCTTTAGTTCTCAGTGCCACATTTTAAGAAGAACTTTGATAAGGTAGAAAGTATCCAAATGATAGAGGCATTTGGAAAGCATGCCATTGAAGCATAGATTTACCCAGCTAAAGATGTTGAATAACCTTGAGAAGAAAAAACTAAGGGAGGGAACATGATTCCTGTTTTTCAAATATTTGAAGGATAGCTGTCAAGCAGAAGACCAATTATATTTGCTCTATAATAAGGGATTCTTAAATCTTTTGGGGGTAGTGGGCTTCATTTGTTGAAGTCTATGGATCTTTTCTCTGAATAGTTTTTAAATACATAAATATATGGGATTGCAACTGAAATAAAATATACTGAAATAAACGTGTACTTTTTTTCCATCCAAATTAATGGACCCCCTGAAATCTCTCCACAGATCTCTGGGTAAATATTCCCTTCTAGAACTAGGTATAATGGATAGAAATTGTATTGACAGCTCTCCATTTGATATTAGGAAAATCTTGTAAACAATTAGAGCTATCCCAAAGTGGAATGGATCATGCCTCCTCTATCCCTGGTCTTTCAAACAGAGGTTGGACAAGCCTTCGATGGAGATAACACTGAGGTGATTCTTGCTCAGGGTTGGTTTAGTCTATAAGTTGAGTGATGACCATAATCAAGTCATTTCATTCACTGTCATCACAAATCATCTCTGAGCCTCAATTTCCTCACTTATAAAAGGGAAACAGCGATCACCGACAATATACTTCTGGTCTCTGGAACGTAGTTTTCTCATCCATCTAATGAGGGGATTAGAATAAAAGATTTCTAGCCTCTAATATTTAAAATTTCTTCTAGCTTTTGCAGTCTATGCTCTGTGTCCTAAGGTCCCTAAATGTACTTAGACTCTCCGTGATGTGTACTGAGGTCCTTTACAATTCTAACAGCCTCTTTTCTAAAGGCTCTTGAAGCCGAGATTCTATGTTCTGAGTCTCAAAGTGCCTCCCAGACTAACATTTTATGTTCTTAGTTCCCTTCCACCCCCAACATTCTGCAAACCAGTGCTTGTTATCTTACAAGTTTGTTCACTTCAAGGAAGCTGTAACATTGTGTGACTGGCAGCCATCCCCGGCCGAGGGTTATGTCCAGGTTTCAGAGCTCAGGGGAGCTGTGCTAAGCCATGCTCTCCGCGCCGCAAGCAGTCCGCGAAACCTCACCTGGTAATGACATAAGGAGCGAAGCAGAGGACGAAGGAGCCAATAAAGATGCTGATCTTCTTGGTGGCCCTCTGCCGCCGCCGCTTCTGCTCATTAAGGCAGCGCTGTCTCACGCTGCAAGGCAAAGGGCAAAGTTCCATTGTTATGTTCAGAATGCGGGTCTGAGAGAGGGGAATTTGGAAAGCCTGGGATAGTGGGACTTAGGCTGAGAGTGAAAAGGCAGGAAGTAAGCCGAAGAAAAATTTAGGATTCTTACTCTTCTTTGCTCCCCCACTAACTTCATTCATTCCCTTTCCTGAAGCCCTCTAGGGAATTTAGCAAAGGAAGGGGGATGGGTATGGCGGAGCGATAACCTCAGGTTATCCGCCACAAAGTCAGGCTTCAGGGTCCCCCGTGGCGTCCCTCGCTAGGGGTCCTGGGATTACCAAGTGAGTCAACCAGGTCCCTAAGGGTGGCGCTTGCAACCTGCCCCAAAATCCCGAAATCTTAAAAGCCAGATGGATGGCGAGGACCGCCCACGCATCAATCCCTTAGCGTATGGACCACCGCTGCCCAAAGACGCACGTTTACATACACAAAGACATAAACTCATGCCCAAACATATGCAAACACTCTCTTACGTACATACAGTCAATCATGAACACAGATTCACTCATACACATACACGAAGATATACAGATTCTGGTAAATTCAGACATACTCATTCACCCTCACAGACCCCCCGCCCCAGTAACACCAAAAAAAGCACACAGAGACAATTCACATTTACCCGTAAACCCATTTAATACATTCAAACACACAAATTCACTATTAGAAACACAGTCACACACACATACACACCACCTCTTACACACACTCATGCAGAGCTTGGGCTAGTACCCACTTAGTTTCTGGCAACCATTTCTCTGCACAAAAATGAGAGTTGAAAGGAGAGCATTGTACTGTGCGTGCATGTATGTGAATGCGCCGAGGATATAAGCAACAACGTTGAATTTGGCCCCGCCTGAACGCCAACTGGGAGTCCTCCTTCTTGCTCTCTCCAGGAAAAAGAAATAAAAACTTAAAAAGGAAGTAGAGTTTGAGCCATTTCCCACCCTTAGGGGTTAAACTGATCAGGGATTATTATCCACACTTTACAAATGAGAAAACTGAGACCTGTACAGTGGAAATAACTTGCTCGGGGTCACTGTAGTGTATACAAGATCAGGTATCTGAACAAACCCAGAGCCTCTAACTCTAAAGCCTGAAGTCTTTTTCATCACAGGCTGCTTCCCACAGACAGCATTCCTGTCTGTAAGTGAGTAGGACTTTAATATAGAAGAGTGTCAGAACCGTAGGAGATCTTAGAAATCCCAAACTTGTTCAGCCTCTTATTTTACAGAAGACAATGCTGAGGCCCGGTGAGGGGAAGTGATTTGAGCAAGGTGACTCACGGGGAGTGTCGTGTACCCCTTCCTTCCGTCAGCCCCGCTATTTACCTGGGATGAATATCCACCAGCAGAACGAGGGTCTGCATGGTGATGACGTCGATCCTCCGGCAATGGAAGCGGGCCACTCGCAGCACCTTCAGATAGGTGAAGCAGAGCACCACGAGCGAGAGCGCAAAGCTGGCGGCGTGGAAGGCCACCGTGAAGGCGGCAAAGCGCCTCCTCTCCGCCTCGACCCGCAGGTACAGAGTGCAGGAGGCGTAGGTACCGCTGTATCCGATCCAGGAGCAGGCAAGTGCGGCCAACGGGAAGGCGAGAGAGTGCAGCCACGCGTAGGCCAGCAGGAGCGCAGCATCGCGGCCACGCACCTTGCTCGCATAGCTCAGCGGGAACACCACGGCCACCCACTTGTCCAGGCTGAGCGCGGCCATGCTCAGCATGGCGTTGGACGCCAGCAAAGTTTCCAAGAAGCCCGCGCCTGGCAAGCGCAGTCCCCCACGGGCTGCTGGCGCCACAGGAGACCCAAAAGAGTAAAGGGCATGTTCAGGAGGGTCAGCAGCAGGTTGCACAGAGACAGGTTGACCAGGAAGAGTCCAGGTACCTGCTGGCGGAGCTCGGAGCTGGAGAGGAAACATAATAGCACCAGCAGGTTGGACAGAAGCGAGACGACTAGAACTGAGCCGAGAAGGAGCGCCAGGAGGGCTTCAGCCAAGTCCATTGCTCTACGGACTTACCCTGGGCCCCATGGCCAGGAGGAGATAAGGTTGTAAGCGGTTCGGGTCTGAGCTAGCAGAGCTCAAGCTCGCTTTAGGTTCTGGGAACAGAAAGAGGAGGCAATGCGCACGCTGTCCAGGGTGCTGAAAGGTACCTCTCTACCGCCTGGACACTGGATCCCACTGGACAAATCATCTTCTTCAGCAGAACCCACTAGAACTCCGACTGCCTCCCCGTATCCAAATCACCTCGTAGTCTCTGGAGCTGAATCCCTTTTCTCTCCTCTGTACGTTTCAGGGCACAAATGAAATAGGGAGTCGTACCTCTGCTCACTCGCCTGAGGGTGCTGAGCGCATCTTCCTCAGCCAGTTGGGTCCCCAGAAACTGTCACACCTTCACTGAGGCTGCCAGCGGTGACTCATGCGCAGAAGAGATTGGAAGAGAGACCTAGTGCAAGCTATATAGCAAAGAACCCACTTCCCTGGTTGGGGCAACAACCAAAAGAAAAAAAAAGTGGGAGGGTGGGATGGAGGGAGGGAGAGAAGGAGGGAGACAGGCAAAGAAGGATACAGGAAGGGAGAGACACAGACAGATACAGAGAGAGAGAGAGAGAGAGAGAGAGAGAGAGAGAGAGAGAGAGAGAGAGAGAGAGAGAGAGAGAGAAGCAGAAAGATAAACAGAGAAAGAAAGTGGAAGAGAAGAGGGAAAAAAATAGTGGGGGGGAGCAAAAAATACATAAAGCATGAAAGAGAAATAAGGAATAGAGGAGAATGGGAGAAAAGAGAAGTAGAAGGAGAGAGACAGACAGACAGAGACAGAGAGAAATGTAAAATAAGGGGGGGGTCAGAGAGAGAGCTGATCCCTAAGGTCTCATCCATATCTAAAATTCTATAATTCTCAATTGAGAAAGAGAGGTTGGGGAGAGAAAGAGGAGGGTAGGATAGGGCATGATCAACTCAAATGCTATAGAAGATGAAACAATACATTGGTGGGTTCTTTTAAGTTAGTTAAAACATGACTTTTCTGTGATGATTCTTTGAGTTTATAGAATTTTTCCTTTCTATTTTATTTGTTTATTATAGTAAATAGTACCACTATTACTCTCCTCAGATAGGTAGAGGGGATAGAGAAGTGGAGATATCAGATATTTGTTGAGGGTTTTAATAGTGGAGGAGGGGATGCTTATTGAGAGCACACATAATTTGATCCTTCTGCTTGGCTAAAAGCATTATATCTTTCAAACTTCCAGTTTGCAAGACAAATCAGGAGAAAAATGCCAAAGGATTAAACTTGTCTCTCTGGGGAAACGTGTTTGCATATTTTCATTGGACAAACGTAAATAGATAAAATAAACAAAAGTGTCACCTATGCCTTCCTCCTTCCTAATCCAACACCACTACCACCAAAAAAGTGAATTTTCCTTCTTCTGAACCTCCATAGCCCTTTGCTTATATCTCTATTATGGCACGTATCACTTTTTGATGGAAAATTATTTGTGTTCCTCTTATTATTGAAGCCAGACTCTAAGTTCTTTGAGGGTAAGGTCTGTGTCTTTAACATTTCAGTTATATCTTAGTCATTGATACCATACCCCACAAACATATTATTCCATATACATATAGGAAAGTCACACATTGTGGGATATAGAAAGAACAGAAAGACCTGAATGGGCTCTGCTTCTAATTCAATTCACTTGCTCCTCCGAAAAATTAAAACGTTGAACTCTGATCTTTATAGTTGCTTCCAAGACAGGGAGAGAGAAGGGGGAGGAGTCAAGGGAGGGGCAAAAGAAAAGAGAGAGGGAAAAGGGGGCAGGGGAAGGGAGGAGAGACAGAGACAGAGGCAGAGACAGAGAGACGGAGAAAGGCAGAGAGAGACAGACAGATAAAATAGAAATCTATATTTACAACCCTTCAGAACCATAAAATTACATAATTTCAGAATTGGAAGGGACTTCAGTGGCCATCTATTGCAACTAATACCTGAAAAATAATGCCCATTGCAACATATTTGACCAGTGATCATCCAATCTTTGCTTGAAGACATCCAAAGAAAGGGATCTCATCCCTCTTTGAGATAACATATCCCACTTAAAGAATCTTTTATTATCACAACATTGTTTTCTCCTTTCACTAAACCTAAATTTGCCTTTGTAAGAATTCCCCTCATTGCCAGCTGAGGCTGAAGAGAGCACATCTAATACTTCTAAGTTAGAACCTTTCAAATATTTGAAGACAACAAAGTGAAACAAGCAGAATCTAAAGAACAATGTGTACAATAACAATAACATGGTAAATGGGGGGGGAAAACAACTTAGAAAGACATGGCTGCAATGGCCAACCATAAAGGATTGGTGATGACATATTACATACCCTCTGGCTAAAAGGTGATGGACTGAAGGTGTGAAATGAGACATACAGTGTTATTTTCAGAGAAGGGCAAGTAGGATGGTGAAGGGCTTTGTTTTGTCTGATGATAGACATCTGATTTTTTAAAATAATTTTCTTTTTCTTTTATTAATTAGTAATTAATTAATTATGAGATTAATAATGAGGATACCACATTAAAAAAAGAAGTAAGAAAAGAGAGACATTGAAGTATGTTTTTAAATACCTAGAAGAGAACAGAAAAAAGGTCAGTAGGAAACACAGACAAGCAGAACAGTTTTGAAATTAATGTGTTGATATGTAGGGAACTGATCCAAATTCATAAGAATAAGAGCCATTCCCTAATTAACAAATGATCATTGGGATATGAATAAATAGTTTTCAGAGGAAGAACTCAAACCTATCAATAGTTATATAAAGTGTTCTAAATCACTAATAATTAGGGAAATGCAAATTAAAACAACTCTGAGGTACCACCTCATACCCATTAGATTGGCTACGATGACAGAAAAGAAAAATGACAAATTCTAGAAAGAAAATGGGAAAGTAAATACACCAGTGCACTGTTGGTGGTGCTGTGAACTAGGCCAACCATTCTGGAAAGCAATTTGGAACTATGCCCCAAAAGCTATTAGATTATGGGTACCCTTTGACCCAGCATTACCACTACTAGGTCAACACCCCAAAGACATTAAAGAAAAATGTACCAAAATGTTTATAGCAGCTCTTTTTGTGGTGGCAAAGAATTGGAAACTGAGGGAATGCTCACCAAATTAAGGAATAGCTGAACAAGTTATAGTATGTGAATATCATGGAATATTATTGTGCTATAAGAAATGATGAAGAAGATAGATCCAGAAAAATCTGGTAAGACACCAACTGATGCAAAATGAAATGAGTAGAACCAGGAGAACAATTTACAAAGAAATAGCAGTATTGTAAAGATAATCAACTGAGAAAGACTTAGTGACTCTGATTAACACAGTGGCCTACTATGGTTCCAAAAGACTCATGATGAAAAATACTATTCACTCCAGATAGAGAACTGACAGACTCAAAGTGCAGATTAAAGCATAGTTTTCTTTCTTTCTTTTTTTTTCTTGTTTTCTCCCCATAACATGGCTAATGGAGAAATTTGTTTTGCATTACTTGATATTTGTAATGGGTTTGTAGTTCTTGCCTTCTCAGTGGGTGGGAGGAGAGGTGGGGGAGGGAGAAAATCTGGCACTGAAAATTACAAAAAGAAAATAACATGTTGAAATTGTTATACACTTTTAAAAAACTGTTCGAAGTATAGATTCACAGTTTCATGCTAACTCTTTTTTATCTATTTTGTATATGGAAATACTAATCTCATCCGGATTCAGTTATCCTCAGATTTTAGAAAAATGAAAGGAAGCTACCATGTTCCCCCTTTTCTCTGAGCTAAATACCCTTAGTTTCCCAAACCAGCTCCCATATGGCATGGACTCAAAGCCCTTCATCATCCTGTTTGCCCTTCTCTGGACACACCTACTTATCAATTTCCATTGTAAAGTGTAAACTGAATAAAATTTTCCAAATGGGCCATGACCAGGGTAAAGAACAATAGTACTATCACTTCCATGTTTCTGGAAACAATGCCACTGTAAATGTAGCTTGGGATCATATCTTTTTTGACTGCCATAGTAAACTCAATCCAATTAGTCATCATCTACTCTTAATCCACAGGCTATACAACCAAAATATACACACACACAAATACACATATTACATACATGTGACATATGTACATATTGCCTGTGTTATATGTCTATATATTACATATATGAGTATATCATGCATGTGTATTGTCACATATATTACATATGTATGTATATATTATATTACATGTTTATATGTGGTATATCTTTTGGATATATATTTGGGTATATATTATTATGTGTTATGTCTGTGTGTGTACCTAAAAATAAAAAAGAAATTTGAGAAAATAAAATAAACATCTAATTAAAGGGATCAACTTGCTGAAGCTATCTTGGTAGAGTGGAACACATGCTGACTTTGAATTCAAAGTATCTTACTTCAAATCCTGGCTCTGCTACTCACTAACTTTGTAAACTTTGGCAGGTTGATTAACCCCTCTAGGCCTCAGTTTCTCATATATCAAATGAGAGTTGAACTAGATGGTCTCTTCCAGCTCTAAATCTTTGATCCAATGAAATGACAGTTAAATAGCTATTACTAACAGATCCAGATTCAAAATTCTTATTCCAAATAAAGTGTTCTTATAGAAAATACCAGAACTTTTGTCTTTTCCATTCTTTGTGACTGGATTAGCTGATCTACATGTAGTTTACAACCTGAGAACAAATGGGCAGTCAATTCAACTATGGAGTGTGTGGTGTGCGCTCTGTGACCCATAGCTAGGCTGATGCCTTCTAAATCAGGAGAAACCTCCAAGTGGTCTTCAAGGAGAGAATTTTTGGATTCATCCTAGCTCATCATAGCAATTCTATTCTGGAAGCCTCTGAGTATTCTAAAGATGAATAGAATCTTGAGGGTGGAGGTGAACAACCCTAGAGAAAGTAGGGTATGGAATATACAGCTTTCTTGATAGGAAGACATAAGGTCTGAAGAAGTCAAGTTTAGGGTCACTCACAGGGCAAAGGGGAAGTAAATAGTAGACATGAGCTGTCAACAACACATTATCAATGAGAAATTCTATGAGACAAGTATTATAAAACAGTGATATCAAACTCAAATAGAAATGTGGGCCACTATACCATACATGAGGATCCCTGCAGGCTTCAAATTGACTTGGATAAATGCATTAATATTTTTATATCCTACTATATTTTTATTTATTTTGCTAAATAGTTCCCAATTACATTTTGATCTGTTTCAAGCCATACTCAGGAGTGGTGGCATGCAGGCTACTGGCAATGTGTTTGATACCTGTGGCAAAAGGTATGTCATCAGAGAGATGTATGACCACACAAAAAAAAAGATGGGCTAGTTACTTAGTGACTGT